GTGTTGAGTTTGAGAAGTTCTTTATAGATCTTGGAAATCAGTCCTTTGTCTGTAGGCCTTCTTTTAATATAGTTTCTTTATTGTTGTTGGATATGTTAACGCTGTCAATGGATCACAAGATCCTCGTGAGTCATCCTTGCTTTTTCTCTCCCCCATTTCTCCCAGGGTGTCTGTGTGGTCTTTGCCTCCCACTCTGCCTGCCAGCTCCCAACTAGTCAGCCAATGTGTTTGCTTATTTGCATTGCTTTTATTACCCCATGAACAGAAGTAGGTCACCTCCCAGAGACATAGTGTGCCTTCAGCATTGTCTCTTGCTCTTGGCTGCAGGGTGCCTGTCCTTGCTGGTGACGGTCCAGCACACAGAGCGCTATGTCACCCTGTTTGCCTCCATTGTCCTCAAATGTGACTACACCACCTCCGCCCAGCTCCAGGATGTCGTGGTGACGTGGCGCTTCAAGTCTTTCTGCAAGGACCCCATCTTTGACTACTACTCTGCATGTGAGTCCCTCCTCCTTCAGCCCACGTCCCTCTGTGAAGCATGGCCATTAGGGCATAGGACCACAAATCCTTCTGAGAGGGAGTCACAAAGGTCACTTAATGCAGTCCCCTCATTTTATAGATAAATAAACAACCCAGACAGATGAAGTAACTTATTTGAGGTCACATACTATTTTATTTTAAGATTTATGTCCCGCCTTGTTCTAAAAAGATGTAGGTAGCTCAGACATTAAGTTTTTTAAAAGGCAGTGCCAGTCCTGCCTCCTGGTCCATTCCTGGTTGCATGCCGGCACACTGAGATGAGTATGCAGTCCGCCTCCATTCCCCTTACCACCTGAGAAGGTGGACAAGAAGCCTCCTACATCCCCCAGGACCCTGAGGAGTGGCCGTTTGTGAACATCCCCCCCCCCACCACCCACTGCCACACTCCCCTTTGTGGCCAGCCTTCCTAGTGGCCAAGGAAATTCTCCCAGTGAGCAAGAGCCCACTGCCCCCAGGGAACACATTCTCAGTGCTGCACACCGCCCCCCCCCAACACACACACACACACACACACACTTAGCCAAGTTCTACCTCTCAGTAGCAGCCACCCCACTCATGCCAGCTCTCCTCCCTGGAACCAAAGCTCTTTTTAGCTGTCTACCTCTACCTCTCTCAAGGAACAAAGGAACCCAGATCCTCACCGTCAGCCCTGGACGATTACCCTTGTAGAGATTTTGAGAGTACAAGTAGGCACCGTCTTTGTAGGAAGGAAGTTAGCTTCCAGAGGTGAGGAAAAAGGGGGAGGCATCAGCTTTACCTCTTTTAGCCCTGACTAATGTCTTACAGTATGAACCCCGATACCTAAATGTCTGAGTCACCCACAGAACCTGGCGTAGTCCCCAAAAGACACATCTCTGAATCAAGGCATGATTTCCAGGGGGTTACTCTTCAAATAAAGTCGGAAGGGAGGAGAGGCCAGGGTAGTAGGCATTTGCCACCAGCAAATGTATTATAAGGGCAGGTGGATGAGCCCTATAGGAGCAGAATCTGGGGTGACCAAAAATGAAGCAAGAGTGGTTGGAATGGGAGACAGGAGCATGGAGCCAGGATTTGGAAATGATGACTTTTTTTTTTTTTTAATAATTTTTTTATTGTTATGTTAACCACCATATATTACATCATTAGTTTTTGATGCAGTGTTCCATGATTCATTGTTTGTGCATAACACCAGTGCTCCATGCAGAATGTGCCCTCTTTAATACCCATCACCAGGCTAACACATCCCCCCACCCCCCTCCCCTTTAGAACCCTCAGTTTGTTTTTCAGAGTCCATCGTCTCTAATGGTTCGTCTCCCCCTCCGACTTACTCCCCTTCATTCTTCCCCTCCTGCTATCTTCTTCTTCTTCTTCTTTTTTTTCTTAACATATATTGCATTATTTGTTTCAGAAGTACAGATCCGTGATTCATCGGTCTTGTACAATTCACGGTGCTCACCATAGCACATACCCTCCCCGATGTCTATCACCCAGCCACCCCATCCCTCCCACCCCCCCCCACTCCAGCAACCCTCAGTTTGTTTCCTGAGATTAAGAATTCCTCATATCAGTGAGGTCATATGATACATGTCTTTCTTGGAAATGATGACCTTTGAGAGGGGTTTGGATCTTGCTGCTCAGAGGTTCATTAGTATCACCTGGGAGTTCTTCTGAACTGCAGACTCTCAGATTCTCACTCCAGACCCACAGAATCAGAATCTTCATGTTTAGCAAGATTCTCAGTAGACACATGAGCTCAGGATAAAAATGAGAAGCTTCCCTGCTCCAGGGAACAGTAAGGGCGCCTTTCTCCATGGGAATTCCCCATCGCTGTGTGACCTGGCTGTGTCCTCTTTCCTCAGCTTATCAGGCGGCTTTATCCCTGGGCCAGGACCCGTCCAATGACTGCAACGACAGCCAGCGGGAGGTTCGCATTGTGGCTCAGAGGCGGGGGCAGAATGAGCCCGTGCTGGGGGTGGATTACCGGCAGCGCAAGATCACCATCCAGAACCGTGAGTGCAGGGGAGGCGGCAGGGATCTGGGGGTGGCAAGAGGTGCAGACACCAGGCCTGGGCCTGGCTGAGTCATTGTGGGGATTTCCCTTTTTCTTTCTTTCTTTCTTTCTTTTTTTTTTTTTGGTTTTGTGTTTGTTTGAGGAAAGTGCCAGATACATAGAATGCTGTTACCACCATCTGAAGTCACTCCCCTGGAAGTTGGTCTCTAGATGAGAAGATGTCCTACAGCTTTGGCTAAAGGTCTGGGAGTGGGTGGTTTCTTTTGCTTTTTCATGGCTGAGGTGTGGCTCAGGCTTGTTCGCTCCCTCCCATAAACTGCTCTCAGGGCCTGCATGAACCCCAGGCCCCTGAGTTTCCCTCTGGCCACTCCTGTTGTACATGTCTAAAGGGCTTCCAAGTAGATGGCTACCAAGTAGACCATCATTGCCCATTGGTAGAGGAAAGAGCATTAGCCTTAGAATCTAAAGACCTGGCTGGGTGTCCTGCTGCTTCCACCTGCTAGCTCGTGGACCGGTAGCAGATGTTTTCCCCGGCCTCTGTTACCTCATCTGAAAGGTGGACATAATGGTCTCTGTGTCTGTACACTGAAGTAAATATCAAATGTGATATCTAAGAGCTATGTGTAAAGCATACTTATTCTTTGTGCCTAGTACAGGGACTGGTGGTTGGAGCCCTCAGACTCAGGTGTGTGTCCCCATTCAGCACTTATAGGGTATGTGAACTTGGGCAAGTCCCTTCAATTTTTTAGCCTCAATTTCTACAAAATGGGACTTGCTGTAGTACTACCCATCTCCTGGAGAGTCTTCAGGCTTAAGTGAGGTGATATGCATAAAGCACTTAGCAAATATTAAATGTGCAGTGAACTTTAGTTACGATCACTGAGGGCACTTTTGGATGGATGGGCTAGCGCCCCACATTCCTATCTTGTAATCCAGGATGGCCGTGATGGGTTATTGGCACAGAATTCAGAGCCTGTTTCAGTGAGCTTCACATGCAGTGTTAAATAAATATTTGCTGATTAAAAGGGGAAAAAGAAGGGAGAATACATGAAGCAGGCCACTCAGGGTATCTGTAGCAACAATGTGAGGAAATCAGTGAATGCTCTATGACCATTTAAAGGTAGATCATTTAAAGGGAGCCAATTTAATATTTGCTTCCAAATTTTTGTATAATACTTTGGCTGTAATAGTTAAGTCTGGTTCTTTTATATGCGATCTCTGATTCCCCCATGCCAGCCCTTAAACTCTCGGCCTTAAGGAACATCTATCCTTTTCTGGTCTCTAGCTACATTCTCAAAGATTCAGGGTGGTTCTCCTTTTCCCAGAGCCTGCAGAATTAGCCCTCATCTGACTCCAAAGTTTAAACTCTCTTCAATTGGCAAGCCTCCTTTATAGTTTTTGAAGGATGAAAGTCCCCACAGGTGACAGTCCCCACTTTTCTTTTTTTCTAATTCTGAGTAATACCATCCACTATCTCTACTCCCAATCACCCTTGGATCAAACTCTGTTTCTCCCTTACACCCATGGGAAAGCAGTATTTCCCCTTGGTTTTTATTTCTACCTCCATACTTGTCATGACTTCCTGAAGCCCTTGTTTTCTGACACTTTATGCCTGTGTGTGCATTTGAGATGACCATGTCAAGTCAGTTCTTGGATTGTTTAAAATATCAACATATCTGAATGTCCTCATTACTGTGATATCCCTAAAAAAAATCTTTGTCTCTAATAAAAATTGGGGCAGATTTTTAATGCACATTAACATTAAGAGAGAATTTCCTCCAAAGCATTTTTACCATTCTTCCAACTCTGGGGTAAGCTTCTTTCTGGGAAAGGTAGTGTGTTTGGAAAATCATGGGTAGGAAAAAATCGTAGAGATTGACGTAGAAAGAGAAGGAAACAGAAGTTGAAGTTAGCTCCAGTGGTGCATGACCTTGCATTTTTGTTTCATTTCCTCAATAAATATTTTTTAACAAACAGATAATGAAGAATTATAGATGGGATTGCTAAGTAAGCAGGAGCAAGTCTATAATGCTAAGGGTTTTTAAAAAGGAATTTGAAGATGTCCCCTGGCACTCTACTGTGGATGAAATAGCAGGGATGTGGAGGCTGTCCTGATGCCCCTGACTGGACTTTAAGCCCTTTTAGGACAGAGATGAGTCTTGTTCCTCTGCAGATCTTCCTCAGGGTCTGACATAGAGCTGGACCCACACAAGGTCTTCAGTGAAAATTTGTTGCTTTTACTACACTTGAACATACCATTCATTTATCCTAATGAGGTAGCCCAGCGCTTGGTGCTCATGAAAACTGAAATTCCTTTCTTGAACATCGAGTAACATTTACCCTTAAAATATTGGCATTTCATCCTTGCTTATTCAACTTCATCTTCTAAATTGTCCCTTTAAGATCCAGAGGGATCTTTTCACAGCTGGTGAGGAACCCAGGCTGTGGAGTTTTCCACCCTCTTAGGAAAGGACATTAGAACTTAGTGGTTAAGAGCACCAGGGTTGCAGCAGAGAGACATGGATTTGAACCTACCTCTGCTACTCATTATTTCTCTGTTCTTAGGCCAGTTTCTTAGCCTCCCAGAGTCTTGGTTTCCTCATCTGAAATGCAGCTAATAAGCATACTTACTGTATCAGGATGGTATCGAGTTTGTGGGTAAGCAAAAGCCCAAAATATTAGTGACTAAACAATAAAGAAGTTTATTTCTTCTCATGTACAAATTTGGAAGTAGATAGTCCAAAATTAGTATGGTGGCTCTGTTCCATTAAGTTCTCAGGAGTAGGCCCAAGCTCCAGCTCACCAAGAAAGTCTTTTTCTTCCTCACGGTCCAAGACGGCAGCCATCACATTTGCTCTCCAGATAACAGAGTAAAAGAAAAGAAGAAGAGAAGGACAAAAATATTCCCAAAATGTTTTAGGAAAGTTCCTGGGAGCCATCATGTGACCCTTCTGCTTGCATCCTGTCCACCAGAACGGAGTTGCGTGTCCATGTCCACCTTTAAGAGAGGATAGGAAATAGTGGCTTTGTTCTGGATGACCACATCCATGACCAAAAGTTATATGACTGTGAGAGAAAGTTATATCCCTGGGAGGCAGTGTAGTGTGTACTTCACCCACCCAGAGAGCTGTGGTGGAAGTGAAATGAGGTGATGTCCAAAATCCTTTCAGGGTACCTGGTAGGGCTCAATGAATGGTCAGTTCTACTGTCATTGTACTGTTTGGGGAAAGAGGAGGGTCTCAGTGAAAGGGCTTGAGGCTTTCCTCTGCACTACGAGGGGCCCTTTTAGGATGTGGAAGGACAGTGCTGGGTCTTTAAGCCATAGGTCAGAAACCAGGGCCCTCTCCTTTAACCCCTGGCACTTTCTCCCTCCCTCCCTGCAGGAGCAGATCTGGTGATTAATGAAGTGATGTGGTGGGACCATGGAGTATATTATTGCACCATTGAAGCTCCCGGGGACACATCAGGAGACCCAGATAAGGAGGTGAAGCTCATTGTCCTGCGTAAGTGCTGCTGGAGCTTTCTCTTTAGCCACCCCATCACTGTGACACTTTTACACACAGAAAAACAAAACAAAACAACACAACAACAACAACAACAGAAGCAAGCAAGCCCAGGTTATTGCTGGATTGCCAACCTCTGAAGGTCCCTTACCAAAGCTAAACTTTTTTTTTTTTTTTTGCCACTATATTGATTGAACGTAACCTATAGATCAAGAGCTGTATTTATTAGACCTCTAGGAGGTTAGACCTGAAAGCATAGTGCCGGCATGTTTCGTTAGCTTGCTCTTGGCGTCTCCGCTGCAGACTGGCTGACAGTGATCTTCATCATTCTGGGAGCCCTCCTCCTGGTCCTGCTGATCGGGGTATGCTGGTGCCAGAGCTGTCCTCAGCATTGCTGCTGCTACATCCGCTGCCCCTGCTGCCCTGCCCGCTGCTGCTGCCCCGAGGAAGGTGAGAGCGGACGGACGAGCACTGGGAGGGGTGCCGCCGCAGGCTCAGAAGAGCAGTGGGAGGGGTGCAGCCACAGGCTCTGACGAGCAGTGGGAGGGGTGCCGCCGCAGGCTCAGACGAGCAGTGGGAGGGGGTGCCGCCGCAGACTCAGACGAACACTGGGAGTGGGTGATGCCGCAGACTCGGACGAGCAGTGGGAGTACGTGATGCCGCAGACTCGGACGAACACTGGGAGTGGGTGATGCCGCAGACTCGGACGAACACTGGGAGTGGGTGATGCCGCAGACTCCGACGAGCAGTGGGAGTGG